AACATCCCTTCTAACAATTTTAGTGATTTAGGTTCTAATTTTCCAATGTTTTGATCAGAATATGAAACACATCCAAAAGTCTTTAGGTAAGAATAATCAACAAAATTTTTCGTCCAAACATATTCAGGGACTTCAAAGTTAAGGACACTAGTGGAGGTTCTATTAACAACATATGTAGCAGTTTTTACAGCTTCGCCCCAAAATAATTTTCGTAAATCAACACTCAAAAGCATGCATCTTACCTTGTTTAGCAAAGTTCTATTCATTCTCTTAGCTATGCTAAGTGATTGTCCTATGTCTTAATATGCCAAGCTCTTTACAAATATTATTGAATTCATAATTGCAAAACTCCAAACCATTATCAATTCTCAAAATCTTAATCTTATGATCAGTTTGCTTTTCAATTTGTGTTTCCAATCTTTGAAAGCAGAAAAGTCCCATCTTTAGATTTTAATAAGAAAACTCAGTTTTTTTTTTGAAAAATCATTAATGATCAAAAGATAATAATTGAAACCAAATAGAGTATACACAGAGGCAAGACCTCATAAGTCAGCATGCACGTACTCAAGTATTTGTTTGAATTTATGAATTTCATGTAAGAAATGAAGCTTAACTTTTTTACCTATTACACATTGTTCATAGTGACCAATATCACCCAGATTTGGATTACCAAAAAACTCCTTTATTTTGTAAAGCTTTTGAACTTTTCTCGTCGATGTGGCCAAGTCTTTCATGCCATAGTTTTGCAAAAGAAAATTTTTCAATCAAAGTAATAATAGTTAAGCCAAGTAAAGATTTTACTTTAAGGAAGTAGAGGCCATGTCTCTTAGGGGTACTAATGATTAACTCGTTGTCCCTAAGAATCTCAATATGTCCTTAACCCATTCTTATGTCAAACTCCATATCATCCAACATACTTAGAGACACCAGATTCCTCTCTAATTCTAGAACATACCTAGTTCTCTTTAAAATAGGACCTTGCCATTTTCAAGCAACAATTTAATAGTTCCTATTCCACTTACTTTACAGATCATATTATTAACCATTATAACTTGCCCAGCAATTGCCTTTTCAATTGCAAGAAAACAATTTTTATTAGAGCATATGTGAAAAGAATAGTATGAATCAAGGATCCATTCATCATTCAGTTTCTTTTCAGCATTAATAAGGACCAATCCATCTTCATTCTTATCTTTATTGTATACTAAGACAGCATTCCCACCATCATGTTTCTTTTCTTTTGACTCATTTTTCTTTTTGTAGCAATATTTATTGAAATGGCCCTGTTTCCTACAATAGAAACATTTCTTACCTTTGGCCTTAGTTTTAGATTGTACTTCAGACCACCTTTTCAAGTTCAGTTTTCCTAGCAGGATTCATATTTTGAGGCCAACTATCATCTAAAGCCCTAACACATCTCATTTGCATTAGGATAGCTTTCATCTTTTGACTCTACATGTTAAAATCAATTTTACCATCAAATTGTGCAACTTCAAATTTAGCAGTATCCATTTTATTATGCCACACACGATGCACAAATAAAAGTTAGGACGAACACAACACAGAAAGCAGAAAATCACAAAACAATGCTAATCACGTTTCACAGTAGTGCCCTAAGTGACACAGATTTATGCAAGTTTTAATTACAAGAAGAGTATGCAGATCAAGTCAAATGAAGAACACAACGACAGAGATTAGATATACTATGTTTCAAAGACTTCTCCTTCAAGATTATCTAGATACACACCTATACTAGATTTATCTCAAATTCCCAAGGCCTCACAAAAGCCTTTGGACAAAGATTAGTCTCCAGAGGGTTGAGGTGTATGGCAAATCAAGGTAAAAAAAACAAAAAACCCTAAATTTTGAAAAAAGTAAACTTTACAAAATTAAAAAGATCTTACCCAGCGAGTGTTATAAACTCGAAAGTCCTTCAATACTGTTCAATAGCAGTTTCAAAAATTTAGATATGCAGCACATCGACACCTTCCTTCAAAGATCCATGTATCTTGCCCCCAGTTCAAAGCTCTGATACCATTGAAAGGCCCGAACCCACGATATTTGTTGCAAGATATAGTTTATCAACAACACAACAGAAAATAAAACTTGCAAAAATTAAAGATTGAACACAGCAGATTTTTTGGTCGAAGCCCCCAAAGGTTCTGTGACCCTTTTAACACCTAATTCCATATTGAGCATTCATTCAAGAATGAATATAGCTCAGTTGCACTAAACCACCTTAAACTGGCAACGAAGGTTACAAATGTTTAGCCAATACAATAATACACAGAAAATACTTATCTCTTTACAAGAAAACAACATATCTACCTCAAATCACCGAAGAATCAACAGATCACCTTCGTGAACTCGAAGTATAAGAACTCTCTCATTTTTACATATTTTCACTCAAGAAAAACACCATTATTCTAAGGCTAAAACATCTAACCATCACTTTCGATCGAGAAGTTCAAATGTAATGGCAAAAATTAGAAACCCTACCCACAGAGAGAAAAATGAACTCTCTCAAACTGAAAAGCTAAAAAAATGAAAAGTCTTCAGCCAAACAAACCATCGCAACATTATTTATATCACCAAGGACCAAAGCTTTCATCCAACGGTAAGTAATGAGCCAAGTTCATCATCCAGAAAGAGCTGCTATTTTATAAAGGCATGTTTCCACAAAACGTGTTTTTAACTGAATATTATGGGAGCATAAAGAATAGGGTTCGAGTCTCAACAAAAACATATTGCCCCACGATGGTTTTTTGTCCAATATTATGTTAGCATACTTTGAAATGACGAAATTATATTTTGTTCGATTTTTGTATTTGTTGTTATTTTTTTTAATTTAAAATAAGAGGGATAAATAATCTTTTAATCCATCATAACAGACACTTTGGACAAAAATTGTCATCAATTAATGCTTCGTTAGCTTAATTTTGGAGCTGGGCAACCAAAGCCGCCAGCTGTTTTGCAAGGCAGTGACTTGGTCAATAGTGGCAAACTCTGGTGATCGGTGGTTTGTAGCACAGTAGCAGCTTCAGTTTTGAATTCCAATAGTGAAGCTGGATGTGCCATCTCTTGCTCTTCTTACTTTAGCCATTATTATTATTATTATTATTATTATTATTATTATTATTATTATTATTATTATTATTGTGTTCATAGGTTCCTATAGACACTGTCATTTTGAGATTCAAGTTCCCTCTTCTCCTCCATTAAGAGTGGCGTGAAGTGTTAAAGATGAAGTCATGCACAACTCAACTAACTCTTCATCACAAACTAATATAAATATCTTCTTGTAAATTAGTTTAGTAGGTTATAACTACATAAATAAAAGTCTAGCAAAAGTTGCTCTTCTTTTGTATTGCCTTAAAACTACTCACATGTAACATTATAAATATGATTATTACACCAAGCAAATTTAGGTCGCTTAATTACTTTTAACTCCATGTGTAATCTTTACATGGTATTAGAGAGAAACTCAGACGAGAAAAGTTATTGATCATGTTTCAACTACCATCTTCATCACCGGTGTTTGGTGGCTTCACCATATGTATATTTATCCTTCATCACCAAACACATTTGGTGGCAACCAACATGGGCAAAGACAGTGTCAAGTGTCAACATTGGTTTTAGGAAGAGGAATATTATTATTATTATTATTATTATTACTACTACTACTACCACTACTATGTATCTTTTATCTTTTATTATTTATTCGCCTTTTCATTTAACTAAAAGAAGGATAAAATCTTCTTTGTAAGAAATGTTAACTTTTTATAATACGATAAAGTAAAATCATCGTTAATAACGAATACCACTAATTAATCAAATGTTGAGTTTGTCATGATAAACGTTTACGACAAGATTGAAAATGTGGTTAAAGATTGAGAACAATGATTATAATGTTAAAAGTTCTAGAATAATTTGTAATCTTCAAGACTTCAAAGAATTCAAATTCAAATTGAACACTCAACCTTCAAAGGCTTCATTCATTGAATGGTCAAAGGATAAGATTCCTAATTCAAGTTGTATACTCAACAAGCAAGCTGGAATCTAGAAATTAACATGGACAGCAATCTGATGTTCACAAAACAGCTGGAATCTGGAAATTAAAGCAGCAGCCAATTCACATTCAAGTGTTCAAACTATGCAAGCTAGAAATTAACTTAAGGCAGCAGCCATTCACACTTTTGATGGTTAAAACACAGCTGTAAATACATGTTTTCCAGCTGCAAATGGAGAAGAAAAATAACCTTTATCTAGTTATAATTGTAGAAAATTTTTAGGACTAGTTTACTCAATGTTTTCTATAAATAGGAAGGCATCTAACTAGTGTCATGTATGTAGAAGAAGTGAGAAAATACCTCTCAAAAAATAGAGAGAAAGAGTGTGCTGTAGCAACTCATTTGTAATCCCAAAATTTCATTAGTAAAATATCATATTTCTCCAATCTCTATCCTTCTACATCCAACAAATTTTGGTATCAGAGCACTTGTTAAAATTCATAAACCCATTCTTACCAAATTCCTACCAAAAAGCTGAGATAAAATTAGCCTCAAAAAACACCATAAAACCAACAGATTTTTTAACAGAAATAGGGCAATTATGGCAACAAATTCGGCGGCCTCCTTGTTCACTTATTCACCAAGTCAAGTGTCAATCTTTGTAGGTGAGCACTATGAATATTGGAGTAGTCAAATGCAAACTTTCTTCACCTCTTTAGATTTATGGGAAGTCATTGAGAATGATAAGGTGGTAGAAGATTCGACCGAGGGAGATGAAGAAAATCCAAAGTTGCAAAAGGAATACAAAAAGAAAGATGCAACGGTGTTGCGATATATTCAACAAGGAGTTGGAAAATCAATTTTCCTCGTATATTTGGTGTTAAAAAAGCCAAAGATGCATGGAAAATTTTAGATCAAGAATCTCAAGGTTCGGATAAAACTATCGCCTTGAAACTTCAATCTTTATGGAAAGATTTTGACAATCTCAAAATGGTAGAACGAGAGTCGGTTTATGATTTCTCTTCACGAGTTTCGGAGATTGTAAACCAAATCAAAAGTTGTGGAGATACAATTAAAGACAAAAGAGTTGTTGAAAAAGTGCTTCGATGTCTCCCTTCAAAATTCGATCATGTAGCCGTCGCAATTGAAGAATCAAAGGATTTGTCTAAAATGACCATATACGAGTTAACCAAATCGCTTCTTGCACATGAGCAAAGAATCAATCGTTCGGCTAGTCAATCAACTGAACAAGCCTTCCAATCAAAGCAAGCATTAAAAATAACTTCAAGCAATCATGGAGGTTCAAAAAATAAAAAGGGAAAGTTTAGCAAGTGGAGTCAAAATGAAAAGCAAAGAAATTGGAAAGCCAAGGCACCACAACAATCCGGTAAGGCTCAATTTTGTATTATTTGCAAAAAGAACAATCATGAATCAAAAGATTGCTATTTTAAATGCAAAAGATGCAAGGTATCTAATCATTCTTTAAAGGATTTTTGGTTTCAAAATAAGGAGAAAAGTGAAGATACAACAAATTTTTTTGAAAGAAAATGAAGATGAAATTCTATTTTATTCTCATCAAAATTGTGACTTTGAATCCAAGAATAAATGGTATTTGGATAGCGGCGCTAGCAATCACATGACAGGAAATAAAGATATCTTTGTAGAGATCAATCCAAATATCACTTCTCAAATTATTCTCGGAGATGGAACGCAAAGAAGAGTAGAAAGAAAATGCATCATTGCAGTCCAAACTAAGGGAGGTAACAGAGAACTTATTACTGATGTTCTTTATGTGCCAAATCTTTCATATAATCTCTTTAAGTATTGGACAACTCTTGCAAGAGAATTTTTCGGTGCACTTTGATGATGAAAGATGCAAGATCTTTGATAAAAAGAAAATGTCATAGTGGCAAATGTTGAAATGAAAAACAAAACCTTTTGTCTCATGTTGCCACGATACAACAATTGTGCACTCAAAGCTCAAAATGCAGATTTGTCACATCTATGGCATTTGCGATATGGTCATTTAAATGGCAGAGGACTTCAACTGCTCAAGGAGAAAAATATGGTGATCGGACTTCCTAAAATTCAAAGGACAGACAAAGTGTGTGAAGGTTGTATCTATGGAAAAATGCACAAGCTTCCATTTCCTAAAACTTCATGGCGAGCTAAAATGCCATTGGAGCTTGTTCATTCAGATATTTGCGGACCAATGCAAACTCCTACTCCTGGAAATAAGAGATATTTCGTTCTCTTTGTTGATGATTACACAAGGATGATGTGGATTTTCTTTCTGAATAAAAAATCTGAGGCATTCTTTACTTTTCTAAAGTTTAAAGTACTTGCAGAAAGATAAAGTGGATTTCTAATAAAGATGTTGAGGATTGATCGCGGAGGAGAATTTCTCTACAATCCCTTTATCGAATATTGCAAAGTTAATGGCATTCAAAGGGATAACAGTTAGCAGAACTCCACAACAAAATGGAGTAGCTGAGAGAAATAATCTCACTATTGTCGAAATGGCAAGAAGCATGCTAAAAGGCAAAGGAATTCCAAATCTTTATTGGGCAGAAGTTGTAAACACAGCAGTATAAATTCTCAATCGATTGCCTACAAAAGCTGTCAGAAATAAAACTCTGTTCGAGGCATGGCACAAAAAGAAGCCAAAGGTAGACCACTTTAAAATTTTTGGTAGCATTGCCTACGCCTTCGTTCCATTACAAAACAGAGAGAAGTTTGATGAGAAAGGATAGAAACTCCTATTCATCGGATATAGCAACGAGTCTAAAGGATATCATTTACTAAATCCAGAGACAAATAAAATAACAGTTTCTCGAGATGTTGTGTTCGATGAAAGTACAACTTATGATTGGAAAGGAAAGTTAGTCGTGAATTCCAGACCCTAGCAATTAGATAATCCATCGACATCTCAAATCCCCAACACTGAACAGTTTACAGCTCCAAATATTCCAACAACTGAAGAAGAGTCAGAAACCCCTCTAAGAAAAACACGCTCACTAAGAGAAATATATGAATCGCAGGAACTCAGATTATTCTCTTGTGAACATCAATCATATGAAGAAGCTTCAAAAGACAAAAGTTGGACAAAAGCAACGAATGAAGAAATATCCACCATTGAGAAAAATAAAACTTGCGATTTACCAGAAGGAAAGAAGATCATTGGTTTGAAATGGATCTATAAAATCAAATACAATGAAGACGGGTCAATTCAAAAATATAAAGTTCGGCTTGTGGCTAAAGGATATTCTCAACAACCAGGAGTCGACTTCATGGAGACATTTGCTCCAGTTGCAAGAATGAAGACAATACATACAGTTCTAGCATTAGCAGCTCAATTGGAATTAAAAGTGTTTTAACTTGATGTAAAATCAGCATTCTTAAATGGCGAAATTCAAGAAGTGTATGTTGAACAACCTGAATGGTTCAAAATCAAAGGTAAAGAAGACAAAGTTTATCGTCTTCAAAAAGCATTATACGGGTTAAAGCAAGCACCCCGAGCATGGAATAGCAAAATCAATAGCTATTTTATTCAAAATGGCTTCAATCGAAGTACAAGTGAATCATCCCTCTATGTGAAAAACGTAGAAAAAGATTTTCTTATCGTATGCCTCTACGTGGATGATCTTATCTATTTTGGAACAAATGAACACATGGTTGATGAATTCAAGAAGAAAATGATGAAAGATTTTGAAATGTTAGACTTGGGACTCATGAGATATTTTTTTGGGATTCAAGTAAAGTAAAGTCTAGGAAGAATTTTTCTTTCTCAGGAAAAGTATATTGATGATCTTCTCAAAAAATTCAAAATGAGTGAGTGCAAGCCAATCTCTACTCCGATGGCCTTAAATGAAAAATTGCAAGTTTATGATGATGCAGAAAAAGTTGATGCCACACTCTACAGAAAATTGATTGGATCATTGATTTATCTTAATACAAGGTCAGATGTTACATATTCGGTCAGCTTATTATCTAGATTCATGAATGAACCAAGTAAACTACATTTTGCAGTAGTAAAAAGAATTTTGAGATTCCTTAAAGGAACCAAGAACCATGGTATCGAGTTTAAAAAAGAGAATAATTGCAAACTTGTTGGTTATACAGATAGTGATTGGGCTGGATCAATTGATGCACTTCCGGATACATCTTTTGTCTAGGATCAAATGTGATTTCCTGGAGTTCAAAAAGCAGAAATCCTTTGCTTTATCATCAGCAGAAGCAGAGTATATCGCTGCTACAGATTCGGTTTGTGAAGCTCTTTAGCTTAGAAGAATTTTGAAATTTGAGCAGGAAGGACCAACAACAATTTATTGCGACAATATGTCGACAATTGCGATGACAAAATTCAGTCTTTCATGCCGGGTCAAAACATATTGAGCTTCGACATCACTTTATAAGAGATTTAGTAAATCAAGAAGAAATATGCATGGAGTTTATAAATATAAAGAATCAACCGGCCGATATGATGACAAAGCCAATGACAATTGATAAGTTCGAGAAATTCAAGAAGCATTTGAAGATTACAAATTAAGAGGGGGTGTTAAAAGTTCTAGAATAATTTGTAATCTTCAAGTCTTCAAAGAATTCAAATTCAAATTGAACACTCAACCTGCAAAGGCTTCATTCATTGAATGGTCAAAGGATAAGATTCCTAATTCAAGTTGTATACTCAACAAGCAAGCTGAAATCTAGAAATTAACATTGACAGCAATCTGATGTTCACAAAACAGCTGAAATCTGGAAATTAAAGCAGCAGCCAATTCACATTCAAGTGTTCAAACTATGCAAGCTAGAAATTAACTTAGGGGAGCAGCCATTCACACTTTTGATGGTTAAAACACAGCTGTAAAGACATGTTTTTCAGCTGCAAATGGAGAAGAAAAACAATCTTTATCTAGTTGTAATTGTAGAAAATTCTTAGAACTAGTTTACTCAATGTTTTCTATAAATAGGAAGGCATTCAACTAGTGTCATGTATGTAGAAGAAGTGAGAAAAAACCTCTCAAAAAATTGAGAGAAAGAGTGTGCTGTAGCAACTCATTTGTAATCCCGAAATTTCATTAGTAAAATATCATATTTTTCCAATCTCTATCCTTCTACATCCAACCTATAATTTATCCTTGTTGATATTACACTTAAAGGGAAGTATGAGACGCCAAGAATTTGGATTTGCAATTTTTTTTTCACTCTATATTTATATATTACACGTACTTGATATATTTAGTAATAAGAGAAAATTGCACATTTATCATACTTATTCAATAATCTGACTATCTAATTTCAAGTGTAAGACACTCTATCAATTAATTTCCAATAATCGTGGATGGGCTAGAGAAAGAATGTTATTTTATCTTTTTAATGAATTCAAAAATTGATGTATTTCTTCTTAAAATACTATACCATCAGAATTGTGTCATCATGTGTGTGACAATTTAAGAATTCAAATATCATGGAAATTAGATTAAGACACGTTGTTCAAATGTCAATTCCACAATTTTCTCTGGCAATTATGATTTTTTATATCCCAAGTTCTTGTTATTAATTAGGGTTGTTTGGATAAGATTTCAAATAAACAATACATTTATCCCAATTTAACATGCCTTCAATGTTTAATTTTCAACAAATATTTTATTCTATTTACTCAAATAAATAAATAAATAAAAACTTTTCATAACATCCAAAGGCCATTTTGCCTCGGAACCAACTTGGATCAGCTCCAGAAATTTGACATAATGTTGTCATTTTCACGTTATAATTAATAAATAAACGTGAAACTTGCCGCTACAACAATAGATCCATGATTTCCATGTCTACAACTATCCAACACCAAATATGTTCCATCGTGTTTAAAAATAGAATAATGTTATTTGTAATTACTCACTATTGCAGTCGTTTTACGTTGCACATACATTTGACGTTTAGCGATTTGATGAATGAAACAATAAAAAACTATCACATTAATGCATCAAATCACAAACCGTCATGTAAAATGTCACGTAGGGTGAATACTACAGTGAGCGATTATGAATAACATTATTCTTAAAAATAACTTATGAACCTAGGGTAAATAATTCGAATCTACGAGTAAAATTACTATCCTCACAGGTTTTTCAAATCATAATTGAATAACTGAAATTTTGTAGAATATTAATAGGTGTTAAATATTATTAATTGGACAAGTTTCATTCATGATAGCTATTCTTTCATTTTAGTATTAATTGGGTAACTATACTTCAATTTTGTTCAATCGAATAGTTATACTTTAATATAATTTCTATATCTTCGTCAAATTTCACTTACGATGAGTCAATAATCGATGACCATCACATGTAACCACACTAGATGATGAAAGTCATTAAATGATTTCAATCATTTATTTCGCTCAAGTTTTACTTATTTCAAGTCAACAACTAGAAGTTATGTATGATAATTATTATTTATTCATTGTCACGCCATCAATTTCATTAATTGTACAGAATTTCTTGATTGAAATCAAATTGAAGAAAAATTACACAATTGAAATGCAATTATCCCTTCTCGTAAGATATATAATTCATATTTTTAAGCAAGTAATGCTGTTTATACCTATTGTGTGATTATTACAATGTAATGTAAATTTAAATTTATTTTATAATTTCTTTTTAATGCTACTTTTTTCATTCCCAGGAAAACATACAATATTTTCTGACGTGGAGATGTGAATGCTGATTGGCTGAGAAGAGTGGTGGCTTTCAACCGAACATACCCACCACCAATATAACATCTAAATTAATTATTTCAATAAATAATAAATATAATTAATTACCAGATAATTCAGTCCAATTCACATCAGATATCACTGTCCTCTATACGATTTATAAATTAATTCAGTTAAATCGAATTGAGCTTCGCCATGGCTATTTATAAATCATTTATAAATTTGTTGGTGGCTAAATTTTGACAAGTTTATATTATATAAGCCCAAATCCATATCTACACTTTTGGATATGGATGAACAGATGCAGTAGAACCTCAACCTTCTCTAAATGTTTTGAAAAACGACGCTGCTTAGTGTTTTTTGTAATTCATTTTGCCTGTTTATGTATACCTATGAAAATTTTCGATTCTTTTTTAGAGTTCTGAAATTTTCACATTTCGCAGAATATTGTTCTCTGGCATTGTTTAGTAACCGAAATTGGAAAATCATTTGGATCTGTATCGACGGAGTTGTTTAGAATTTATATTTGTAAATTCAAATGGCTATGGAAGACAACGAGAGTTGTAGTAGTAGCGTGATGGAATCGGCGGCCGGTGGGAAAAGCCGGCAGCAGAGGAAGAAGGTGGAGGTTTACAATGCGGTTTTGCGGCGGCTCAAGGAATCAAGCCATCCGGAGGCTCAGGAGCCTGCGTTTGACGATCAACTCTGGGCGCACTTTAATCGACTCCCTGCCAGGTAACTTTACCTTTCTGATCCCACATTACCTTTGGCGGTGGATTTTGATTTCTAATTTTGATTTTTATGCTTTTATTTATGTTTGTTTAGTTCTAGACATTCTTGTTAGTACAATTTTTTCTTATGATGTAAAATCTCTCCTATTGACACATAGTGCATGTTGTGAAGAATTTCTCTCTCTAAACTCCTGCGTGCAAAATGGTATGTAGTCATAAAAAGATTGACGCTTTCCTTGTTCCACATTGAAGGTATGCGATGGATGTGAATGTGGAAAGGGCAGAAGATGTTCTTGTGCACAAGCGGTTACTGTACCTGGCACATGATCCTGCTAATAGGCCTGCATTTGAAGTCCGACTTGTGCAGGTGAGTTGATTTTATAGGGATACAACATACCAGTTCTTAATACATATCGTTCATTCATTTTTGTTCTGCTGTCATAACTGGTTTATGCTTTTGAGTACTTTCTGCAGCTTCTTGAAGTACGGTTTTGACCTTTTATAGTTTGTCAATTGTTCAAAGTGCAAGGTGTTGTGCTATATGAATTGACCTTTTGCTAACAGATACACATCTTAAATAGATTAGATGAAAGCAAATGATGTTACTGCTCATACCTTAACTGTTTTCCAAGCAAAAACTGCAATTTCTGCTACTCTAGGTCTGCTCATGGTTTAGTTGAGCATGGTCAGACTGTATTTATCCAGTACATTTTCTCTTATATTTACTCTTTTTTGTGTTTCTGTTAGAAACTTGATTATGATGATTTGGTGTTCTCCTATGAAATTCTATCAAAATGAAATAATAAAGTTTTATCCATTGACATACCCGGCATGGTTTAGCAACTTCATGTTACATAATTTATGTCACTATTGGTTGGATTATATAATCTGGCATTGGGCAGATTGCACCTATCTCTGATGGGACTTCAGCAGATTCAGTCCAGTCACACTTACCTAGAAACGCAAGGTATTCACATTCATCTTTTGTTTGAAAAATAATTTGGAATGACATGCTTGCTAAGGTTTTTTCTAACATGTTACCATATGTCACAAAGGCTGTCTATTATGGAATTCTATTGATGCTTTTCCTTTAGTATACATCACACAAATATTATTTAAGTTTCCGTGCTGAAATATTCACCTTCTATTTTATATGTCAGCGTCCATCCACCTCCTGCATTTGGTTCTTCTCCCAATCTTGAAGCCCTTGCTCTCGAAGCAAGCACATCAGAAGTGCAAGATGGAGACAGTTCTGTAAATGCTGGTGCCAAACTTTTCCGGTAAGTCAGCGATGTACTCTTGACTTTGCTTTTGCTTAACATATCACTACTACATCCTTGGGAGCTTCTAGAAATAAGACATCAATGGGCGCGCACATTGCTCGCTTAAATTCAGATGTAATGTTTTATGAAAAATACGATGTTACTAGTTATTTTTTCAGTCACTTGAAATATTTATGATACTACCCTCATTATGTTATGATCTAAAACCAATGTATAGTTCATTCTTTTAATTCTTAGTTGTCACAGTGGGACAGTTGAAATATTATATGCTGTCGTAATCTTTAAAGCAAAACTCCTCCTTGCCTTCTGGCCCCTAAACTCCAAGCACACTATCTCTCTCTAACATGTGCACTATGCAGAAAATTTGTATTTGCTACATTTTGGTTGAAGCCTATGGGATACTCAATTTATCAAATAGTTGTATCATATCATGAAAGCATATTAGCATACTTTAACATTATGTATTCTTTAGCTTACTTTTTCGAAGTGTCGGTTATATAGGCCTATGCATGAAATTACTTTCTCAACAGATGACAAGCCAAAGCTCCTCAGTCAGGTAATTAATCTGCTCTATTCATCTAATACATTTGAAGATTAATTTGCTTACTTGTCCTAATACTTTACTTCTTCTAACTGATGATAAGTAATCCGTGATTGTATGAGACGCCGAAGTGTCTAATAATATTTGATTTCACTTACTTCTTTTTCAAACTTAAATTGACAATAAGTGTCTGATACATGATGAATCAGAATATATAGGTTATATTTTAATTATAGGAAAATGTTTTACATTTTAAGAAGTTCAATTTTAGAAGACAAACTATTATAACTGAGCACCCTCTTTATAATAGATAGTGAACTTAGTGGTGTACAAAGTTTTCATACCATATTATAGTAAAAAAGTTTTAAAACGTAATTTGTTTGTAAAATTTAATAAAAGGCATAGTATATACCTGCTCTGGTTCACAAATATAAGCATAATTTTTTTAGTAAATGTCACTTCTTTCAGGAATATATGACATTGAAAGCCTAAGCAGTTGTTAATACATGTCCTTGGGTTGTGAGGGAATTTATGTATATGTTCACCATTCTCTCATAATTTGCTTGTTAATATCTGTTGAAGAACAAGTTTTGACCTGGACTGACCTATTTAACTGAACCTGGCAGCTGACTTCTTTACTTGCTGAAGTTGGGTTGAACATTCAGGAAGCACATGCCTTTTCCACCGTGGATGGCTATTCTCTTGATGTCTTTGTTGTTGATGGTTGGCCATATGAGGTATTGCCATTCTTTTCATTAAGGTCATGGCTGGAGTGCTTTGTTCCTATAGAAACTACAACCTCCTTCTGTTGTGATGCAGCATGTTTGAAAGTTCTAATTATATCTATATGTTTCTAAAGTAAATATATACTTTCTAGTGAAACTTTGTGCTTCTGTCTTATTTTAGTGAAACTCCATGCTTCTCTTTACAGATGTCTAATTTCCTTTTGTTTCCCGAAATCATGTAATATTTTCCCCACTTTATGAAATTGCTGTAGTTAAGTTAAAAGTAGTAAACATTTTAAAGCTCATTTTAGTCATAAATAATTAAATAGGAGAATGTATTGATGATAGAGAAAAGTCATATTCCCAAGTGAAAGTACAATACTGTGTACAATTATTTCTTTAATAATGAGCAAGCATGTTGTTGTTTTATGTATTGCATCCCATGGTTCAAATAACAGTGGCCCTGTCATTTTATCAGCTCGATGAAGTAGGTGGATCTCCTAAACCTCATTTGTTGAGCCTCCACCATCATTTCATTTTAAAAATGGAATAGCAAACTGGAAGGTCTTTGTTCATTTGCTTCTCTGAAGTTAATAATAAGAGTTTTGACAAAACCTCTTCTATAACTTTTCAGGAGGTTGAGCAGCTTCGAGTTGCATTAGAAAAAGAAGTATTGAAGGCTGAGGTATTTTTCCGCTATTCTTAATTAAAATTTTAGTTCTTTGCAATGGTGATTGTATTCCTGGATCTATTTAATGTTTGGATAAAGATATTTGTACAAAATCTTGTTAACAAAATTGTGTACTCGCTCTCACAAAATTAGCGGACCCCACGTAAATTTAAAAAATGTCGGCTTGTAATCCCCACCCTCATTGTGAGTAGTGAGTAAGAGAGTTTGTAAAAAAAGTTTGTATATGTAGCATGATCCTTAATGTTTATCCTCAGTAGAAAGCATACTGTGGCCAATGCTTGAAATTTATGTTAATATGTAATTCTAAGAATGTATTCTCAATTTACTTGTATTGTGCTGATTTCCATAATCCAGTATGTGTCTATTTTAGAAGCTCAACTGTCTATTAATGAGGATCCATGATATAATGCTAAGCAAAATTGGTGCAATGCCACTTTAGTATGATAGGAATAAGGACAATGAAGTCACTGTGGACAATCATGTTGTCCACAAAACTGATTATTTTAGGTGTTTAGGTTCGATCGTTACCAATGAAAGTGGAACTAAGAATTTTGATAATGTCATATCTACTTTCTCACTTCCTCATTGTAATTAACATATTGTCCTGTGATGTAACATTTCTGCATCTTAAAAATGTCATTTGTGCTGAAATCAGCATTCTAGTAATTATATTATAATTTTACGAAAATAAAAGTATGATGTTCCTCAATTATTATTTAGTTTTTTGTAAGGTTTTGTAGTTCAAATATTCTTTCTTTGGGTTCTGGGTTATCAGGTATATATAATTCCTAAGGCAAATCAATAGTCTACAATTCTGTTAAGGATATTTTGTATGTAATGCAGGGACACTCTTGGCCACAACAGCATTCTGTCTCGCCCCTTGGTGAGCATGAACAAATAGAGATCATATCTGAACCTGATCATTTGACAATACCTAGCGATGGCACTGATGTATGGGAGATTGATCCTCAAGTTTTAAAATTTGAGAACAAAGTTGCCTCAGGATCCTATGGTGATTTGTAAGTTTTTACACATGCAACTGAATATGCGTAGTTGAGTGTTGAGTTAACTGAAAATTCTGTTGTTGCAGGTACAAAGGTATGTACTGTAGTCAAGAAGTGGCTATTAAAATTCTTAAAACAGACCGTTTGAATTCAGAATTGCAGAAAGAGTTTGCCCAAGAAGTATATATAATGAGGTCTGTCACATCAATTTCTGGACCCAGTTCAGTTCCATCTGTTTGCATTGTAATTTTCCTGTCACTGACCTTGATATGGCATATTTTCATTGATTAGTATTTGTTTCTTGCAGAAAAGTTCGCCACAAAAATGTTGTGCAGTTCATAGGGGCATGCACACGACCTCCAAACTTGTGCATAGTAACTGGTATGTCTTAATGGTACCTATGTTCTGGTAAAATTTATTTAGGCAAGACTGCTTACAAATCGAAACTACGTGTATTTTCCCTTTGCCAGAAGAACATTTGTTTTACTTTACCCATTTCTTTTGTTACAGAATACATGTCCGGAGGAAGTGTTTATGACTATCTACACAAACAAAAGGGTACTTTTAAGTTTCCGTCTTTGCTCAAAGTAGCAATTGATGTATCGAAGGGAATGAATTATTTGCATCAGAATAATATAATACACAGGGATTTGAAGGCTGCCAATCTTTTGATGGATGAAAATGAGGTAAGATACTATCATAAAGAGATGCAAACATGTAAATTTTCTCTAAATGCTCCATGTCGTTAATCTGTTTATTATGATAATTGTAGATTTCATTACCGATCCATCCAAATAATAGCCAAACTATCATAGAAGTTCATTTTTTGTGAATAAATGATTACCAGCTTTCATTTGATCT